TTTCACTAACTTCTCAGTTTTGTGAGCCTCCAACTTAGCTGTCTGATTATTCTGAAACTCACATGTTTTGTAGAATGTGATTTTTAAAACTAGAAGACAAACTCTATAGAATCATCTTAGAAATGGGCCTAACTTAGAATGGGATTAACTAACTTAGAAATGCTAACTTCCTTAATGTTGCCAAAGCAATTCACCATTTGGAAGTCATCTTGTCACTTCAAATCTTTCTGATAACTGTCTATAAGGGCTTGCAGAGACTTCAGTAAGAAGAACTCATGATGCCAGAGCATTTTCTTTATTTAAATCTCTGTCTCCTGTTATAATAAAGATGCCCCCAATGTTCCTGTTTAAAAATGTGAATTTAATCCAATATTGTACTTTAATTGTTATCCCTTGAACCTGGTTTCAGCTTCGCGAGATTTGTATCACTCTATCTTGATGTCAAACACGTATTTTCCAGTTATGAGGTCCACTTTTCTTTCTTTTGAAATAGTAATGATCTTTTCTGAACCTGCTCTGCATCTTTGCTGGGTTGTGGCCCATTTGCTAGGCACGTTGGGCTGACACTCTGCAGGTTTGCTCTAAGCCCTGTGCTCTACCCCCACGCTGGGAAACCTGAATCTCCCTGCAGTTCCCACAGGCTCCACATGATGGCGGCCTTGTCTCCGCAAACCGGACTTCAGGCTTCTCCAAGCGCTGAGCATGTTCTGGCCTCAGGTTGGAGCTCCCGTGAGTAACTTGCCAGTGCCCTTCCCTCCCATGGCGGGTCTCCACACCTGTGGCTGAAACGCAGGCTCTGTGAGCTGTAGGGTGCAGCGTGTGGCAATACCCGGACGCCTTCAGATGCTTCTTATTTACACAAATGTGTTTGGGTTTTGACTTGCTTTTTCTGTTGAATGCTTTTCCAGCATTCATTTTCTGGGTTTTGTGTGTGTGTGTGTGTGTGTGTGTGTGTGTATGTGTGTGTGTGTGTTGCATAGAAGAACTGGCGTGTGTGTGTGTGTGTGTGTGTTGCATAGAAGAACTGGCTTGTAGGGGGGTGTGTGTGTTGCATAGAAGAACTGGCTTGTAGGGTGTGTGTGTGTGTGTGTGTGTGTTGCATAGAAGAACTGGCTTGTAGGGGGGTGTGTGTGTGTGTTGCATAGAAGAACTGGCTTGTAGGGGTGTGTGTGTGTGTGTGTGTGTGTGTGTGTGTGTGTTGCATAGAAGAACTGGCTTGTAGGCCAGAGGTGCAGGGGATGAGAAACAGAGTGGGGAGCAGGTGAGGCAGATTTACTGAAATACACTGCTAAGGGCAGCAGGGGTGGGGGAAGCCATATCATCCAGGAGAGGTCTGCTTTGCCATAGGTGGGTAAGCCACTTGGCCGACGCATTGAAATCAGACCGTGGTAGGGGTAGCGCTGAGACTTAACCTCTACGCCACCAGGGAGGCCCTATTTATGTTTGTTTAATATGAGTGATCTTTATTTTGGGTATATTGGGCTAAAGAAAGAATATTAACATTAATTTCACCTGTTATTTGTTAACTTTTTTGAATGTGGCTACTAGAACATAGGAGCTAACAATAATAACTAGACTAATATATATATCTTTTTAATATTTTATTTTATATAATTTTTACATCATTTTTCATTTTTGCACAATGTATGCATTTTCATTTTGGTTGTATTCCCCATACAATTGCACCACCCTTATTTTGACCCTAATCCTTCCTCTCCCCACCTCGCCCCAGACTAATATATTTTTAAGCATCTACTGGATGGCACAAATGGTACTAACCTCGTTTCCCAGGTGCTCTCACAGCAGCTCTTTGAGAGAGGAAATATTGCTGTCACTATTTTGATTTAGGGTAAAGTAAGTTCATTACGGTTAAGTTCAAAGTCATGCAAAAATTGAAGTAGCTGGAATATTAATTTAACTTATCTAGTGACATGATTCCTAAATCTACATGTCTTCTTTGGAGAAGTGTCTATTTAGGTTTTCTGCCCATTTTTTGATCGGGTTCTTTATTTTCTTTTTGTTGAATTGTGTGAGTTCATTGTAGATGTTCAATATCCGCCTCTTGTCAGAGGTATCTTTTGCAAATATTTTTTCCCGATTCAGTGGAATGTCTTTTTATATTAATGGTAGTTTCTTTTGCTGCACAGAGACTTTTTTTTTTAATTTGATGCAGCCCCTTTGTTTATTTCTGCCTTTGTTTTCTTGGCTGTCGGCATCGAGTGCCCCAAGATATCATTGAAGCCCATATCATGGAGTGCTTTGCTGATATTCTATGTATTAAATACAGTCTTGCAGTCTTACATCCAAGACTAGGGGTGTCCTAATATTATCTCAATTAAAGATAAATAAGAAGTGGAAGCCATATCATCCATTTAGGCCACAGTCATGTTAATTTGTCAGAGCAGCCCAAGATGACAAATATAGCAGCAAAGGTTCTGCTTGGTTCTCAGAGACAAACAAACGTGGGATGTGTGTGTGTGTGTGTGTTACATGCCATGTACACTTATTTGGCAATATGGCCAAGTATTTATTTAAATAAACAACAGCTTAAGTAAATAAAAATTAAAAGCAGGATAGTTCGCTTTGAGTTCCTGGATAGAAAAGACATGTGAGAGATTTTTGCAGAAAAACTGAAATTCACTTTGTTATAGCTGCTATCCAGATTAATGAAGATATGATTGATAGATCTCATCTCTTATGTATTTTCTCATATATTTTCCACATTGCCAAGATACTTTATTCTTTAAGAATACTCACTGTGCTTCGTGTATTTTGTACTATCACCAAAAGCGAGCTTATTATACAACAGGATGACAGAAAGAAAATTAATCTCCCTGGGCCTCCCTGGTGGCGCAGCAGTTGAGCGCTGGGCTGCTAAGCTGCCAGCAGCCTCTGCAGCGCCAGTTCGACCCCCAGCCGAGGGCCCCACATGGCACGCAGACCTCTCGCTCAGCGCCTGCTGCTCCCCTCAGCAGTGTATTTCGTCAATCTTCCTGTTCTGCTCCCCGCTCTGGCTCTGGTGAATCCTCTCACCCTCCCGCGCTTCTGACTGTACCCAGTGCTTGTATAAATAAATTTTTTAAAAAAATTAATCTCCCTTTGTTACGTTATCCATTTCTCCCCTATTAAGATTTCCTTCTCATTTTTGACCTTTTAGGTAGCCAGAGCATGGTCACACACTTTTATAATGACAGTCTATACACACATTTTCTATGAGCTTTTATACAATGCATATAAATACTGTAAAAAGTGTCATCCATTCTTGCAGCTTATATATACAAGAAATATCTTCTCCCTACTTATCATCTTGGAGTCTCTTTTCACTGCTCTCATCAAATGTGAGAAGAGTCTTCTTTCAGAAGGTTATTAAAGTTTGTTTTGCAGTTCATTGGTTGAGAATGAGATTTCCTAGTAATTTCATTTTGATGTGTTTCCTAATTTGGGTTTAATTCTATTCATCCCAAGAGACATCAGAGTATAGAAATACTTATGACTCTGAATATGTATTATATTACTATGAAGTTGATGGTATTTTAAATAATTTAAGACAGAGCACTTTTTCCTCTAGTCATTTTAATGACCCATATCGACAGCAGAAATTTCAAAAACAGTTACATGAAACAGAATATCACTTGGAAAAGGAAGTTGCACACTTAAATTACCCCATGGAGCAGCATTTCTGTGACTAGTACATCTTGGTTCAAGGGCTGACCCCAACTGACTCAAAGGCTGAATTATCAGCTACCTACTTACTGGCCACATATCATGATCTCTCTGTTTTAATTTATACTGGAATAAGGAAAATAATTATATCTTAGGATGTAATTGATTTTCTTCCTTTAGATAGAACTTAATGGAGTCCCAATAAGATCGGTCATGTCCTGCCAGTAGGTTTGTATGTGGTAGGTATTTTTGCTTAAATTCTTTCCTCCCTCAAGCATGTTCAAAATGGCCCTGAAATGTGGGTCACTGCATCTCCCCTTCATTATCCTGACCATCCTTCATCACCCCCGATCACCTCCAGGCCTTCTGGTTCTGATGAGCAGTCCTGTTTCATGATTTGTGACATCATTCTTACATCACTCAATCCCTCAATCTAACAACTATACTTTATAAGAGGTCTTTGCATGTCACCTATTAAACATTAATTTCATAGCTTCACTTTCAGAAGGAAATCCATTTCTCTATAAAATACATTTTCACATTGTCAGAGGCCGCATCACTATAGACTCCAACTACTAGTAATAGTTAAAAAATAATCGAACATTCATGATTAAAAATTGAAATGTGGTAACTTAAATAAGTCTTAAAAAGGAGACATGAGTTATGAAGTGACATTCATGGTAGTTAGCCATAAGATGTCGAATTCAAGACAGATGTCAGAAAAATCATGTTTATGATTCTTAAAAATAATATGACTTCCTTTTGAGAAACACACCCGTATTACCAACACCAAACAAAAGTCAGTAGCCTATAACAAGTGAAATAATGTCCCCACCCTAGTTTTAATTTATAATGAGAAAAATAATGACATCTCAGCATCTCTCATTTCTTCCACTGCAAATGTGGACAGCAAACCACAACCATATGAGCAGCATTTGTGACCTTGCTGAATGGGAATCACAGCTGGTGTCCCACCATATTATAGTTTTGCAGATACCTGCAAATACCGTTTACATGAATTAGTCCTTCCTCTAGTCATTAGACTTCACTCTAGATCTCATGATTGAAGCTATAATAATGAAGCAAAATATTTCCATGTCAAGCATTTTGTTCAGTGCAGTAACAACTGTATTGAATACAATTGGAATCCATAATTTATTTTAAGCTTTTAACAATACTGTTTGTGGTCCTACACCTCTGAATCATATACAGTGTTTATAAACCAATGTTGCTTCAATAAAAAATAACACCATTCCTTGAAGGGGCCCAGAGGGCTCTCTAGACTAACCAAGGAGCTCATGGAACAAAGAATGTCCTCCTCTGTTAGAATTTTGGCGTTTGTGTTCAACCAAATCTGCTCTCCACCAGCCTGCAGGTAAACAGCTCCATCTATTAGTTCTTCTATTGTTTACTTTCCCGTTTGCACGTGCATTAAGTGAATAAGTGAATTCACCTGGTGATGAAGGCCATCCTTTCAAAAGGTCAGGAAGATTCACAAGGGCTTAAATCTAGACACAGAGATCTCCACATGTAGGGGCAGGACAGACACAGTGCAGGTTTTCTGATCCAGCAGACCGGGTAAAGGAGGAGTCAGAGACCTCAGTGGCTTTTGCAGATCTTTTATTTAGATTTACCGGGCACATGGCAGGCAGGGGTGCTGGGGGGCCTGGAGGCTGGCAGGCCTCCCAGCCCCCAGCAAATCTTCACTCTATCTGGGCTCTCTCTGGCCTTCTCTCATGGCCTTGCTTCTCTCTCTTCCGGCTTCCGTTCGTTCTTGGCTTCTGCTGGCATCCCTGCGATGCCGCCCTTATAAACTCAGTCTCTCAACCCAGGCGTACCCACTTCAGGTGCCCGCCATCAGGCATGCATTCAGGACCACAGGGTTCCCTCATCTATCCTAATGGCGGGAGGGCAGAAAAGCCTGATACTTTTTACCTTACCCTACAATCCACCCCCTCAGGGTTTTCTGCCATGCAGTCTATATGTTTCTCTTGGCAACAGAACACTGCAGGCATGGCCCACAAAAACAAATAATATACGTTACAATAGAACAAAATAAATAAAATACAATAGAACATAAATAATTCCAGGCAGGGCACCAGCAGATGAGCCACCGAATCTGCTGCCGAAGGCACTGCTCATACAAGGGAGGGGAACCACTCACAGCATCTACTGTAACACGCCAGGAGCCATCAGGCTTCCTGGCCTTCTCTGGCTGTGGTCTCGGCTACAAGCCACACACCGCATCCACCCCCAGGATGCACTCGTTCTGGGACTGGCAATTCTATTCTGTTGGGGGTAATCGCCAACCCTCAGGGTTTCTGTCTGCAGTCGCTCCAACACTCGGCCTTCATATACACCAACACGACTCGCAGACCCCTGCATTCAGGCCAACCCACTGCACAAGCACATGGGTCGGGGATCCTTGGATACTGTAGGGGCCGGACTGGCCACAGTGCAGGTTTTCTGATCCCATGCAGACCGGGTAAAGGAGGAGTCAGAGTCCTCAGTGGTTTTTTGCAGGTCTTTTATTGGGGTTCACCAGGCATATGGCAGGCAGGGGTGCTGGCTGGGGGGCTGGGAGGCTGGCAGCAAGTCTTCACTCTATCTGGGCTCTCTAGCGTTTGTTCTGCTGCTTCTCGGCTTCTCTTTCGGCTTCTGCTTCGGGCTTCTTCTCTTTGGGCTTCTGCTGCTGTTGCTGGCGTCCCCGTGACGCCGCCCTTAAAAAGCACAGTCTTAGCTCAGCTGAATCCCATCTACCTATGCCCACACCCTATTCCAGGTGCCCGCCATCAGGCATGCATTCAGGACAAGGATCCATCATCTATCCTGATGGCGGAAGGGCAGAAAAGCCTGATATTTTCTTTACCCTACAGATACAAACTCTACATTCAGCTTGGGCTCCACCCCAAGGCACGTTCCCCACCCATCTCCCAAGGACAGGTTCCTCAGCTCCTCACCTGCACTCAAGAACGAGCAGGGCATCACCCACAGGTGATTTTACGAGACTCACTGGCCTTCAGCATACTCAGGCTGCTTAAAAGCCGCTCAGGGCTTCTCAACTCAGCACCAGCTTTTGCCTTCTCAAAATTGGCTTTTTTCCTCTGCCTGGCTGCTGGGCATACACAGGCTGCTTTTGGCCACTGAGGCCCACCGGCCACCCCCAGGTTCCCAAAAAACACAACGTGCCAAGGTCCTCCACCCTCTGGCGGGATTGTCAGTCCAAGTCCATTAGTCCCAAGTCCATGGGCTTCTTCCTTGTATCAGCACTGGCGAGCTCTGAATCGTGGTCCTCTAGCTTTCCCCAACGATTCGGCTGCCTCGGCGGTCTTGAGCTGGCCCTCTTGGGTGTCTCCTGCAGGCGAGGTCTTGTCCCGCAGCTCCCAGACCTTGTCCATCTCCTGTGCTGCCGTGACGCCTGCAGCGTCGTCACAGGCAAACACAGTCTGCTGCTCCTCAGTCCCTCCAGGTCTTCGGAGGCTCTATACCCGTCTGCAGAATCATCCTGCTGACTTACGCCAATTGTAGGGGCAGGAAGGGGCACTGAGCAGGTTTTCTATGATCCAGCAGACCAGGTAAAGGAGGTTTCAGAGTCCTCAGTGGTTTTTGCAGGTCTTTTATTTAGATTTACCAGGCACATGGTAGGCAGGGGTGCTGGGGGGCCAGGAAGCTGGCAGGCCTCCCAGCCCCCAGCAAGTCCTCACTCTATCTGGGCCCTCCGGCCTTCTTTTTGCTTCTCTTCTTCTTCTCTCAGCTTCTGTTCATTCTTGGCTTCTGCTGGCATCCCCGTGATGCCGCCCTTGTAAAACTCAGTCTCTCAGCCCAGGTGTACCTACTTTAGGCGCCTGCCATCAGGCATGAATTCAGGGCCACAGGGTTCCCTCATCCATCCTAATGGGGGGAGCGCAGAAAAGCCTGATACTTTTTACCTTACCCTACACCACACATGGGTGGAGCTGCTGAAAGATAGGAAAGGAGAGGGCAATGCATGAGGAAGAAAAGTCTAGACCAGCTGACAGAGCCCAGCACTCAGTAGCTGTGGGCATAAGCCACAGGTTGACCAGAGGTTAGCATCTAACAAGTCCAGGAAAAATTGAAAATGTTTGCAGAAATGTAGGGGGGAGGGCTGGGGGGCGGAGACAGTGGCAGCCAGTACAATAAGATTTGCTAATCCTAAGTGGCCTGTTCGGCCACCATTTTTGTTACCTAGGGCTCTGCATTCCTAAGCAAGGTCAGAACTGCCCAGTCAAGGGGCCTCCCTGGTGGCTCAGGTGGTTGAGCGCAGCACTATGAAGCTGTCCGCTGCCTCTGCAGCACGGGTTCAATACCCACAGGCCTCGGAGCAACCCACATGGCACAGCAGACCTCTCCTGTCTCGCCTGCTGCTCCCCTCAGCAGTGTATTTCGTCAGTCTGCCTGTTCTGCTCCCCGCTCTGTCTCTGGTGAATCCTCTCATCTTCTCACACATCTGGCCTGTACCCTGGTTCTTGTATAAATAAAATAAATCTTTAAAAAAAAAAAAGAACTGCCCAACCCTGCAAAGCACCTTTCAAATCAATCAAGTGCAGAAAATTTGATCACCCTGGGAAGGGAATGCATTGTGAGGGATGACCAGGAATGCCCTGGGGGCTATTGACTGATGCATAAACTTACTCCCCACTTACACATCACAAAGTATGACAGAGAATGCCAGGGGAGCCGTTGACTGATGTATAACAAGGGAACCCAGAAGCTGAGCAGCAAATACCTTGTTGATAAGATTGAAATCAGGGCTGGGGATCTAGGACTTGATCTCAATTACCATGCAGAGACATCAAGCAGATGAGAAGCACCTGGAGGGCAGACTCACAGCCCCTGATGCTAGAGATGACAGAGCGCATCTTCTAGTTTCCCTCCTCCCATTTTCTCTTTTTTCTTCTTCCCCTCACAACTGACGCTTTTTGATTACTCCAATAAAAAATTCGAGATCTTGCTCTTCAGCAGCATCCTGCACTGTGTAGCCTGCTCCACCACTCCTGTTTCTTTATCTGTGTGGTGGTGTCGTGGCGACATGAGATCAGGTCAAATACAGACATAGACTCTGATCTGGAGATTTGACTTATATCAGACAGATGTGCCCAACTCTGGTCTGGGATTCAGGGCCAGGCAAATCTGGGACGGTGATGGTGTGGTTGGGGTGGGAATTGAGAAAGGGAAAGAGCTCACTCCTATAAAGGCCAGAATCCTGGACAGGCTACAGTGAAGTGATTGAGGACAGGGCTTGCGAAGGTAATCAGGTGGAGACTTTATTTCAGGTGACAGTCTTGACCCTGATTTCTTAGACCTGGAGAACACTGTGACGGTAACAGCGCAAGATCAACTGGAGTCGATGTCTTCTTATTGAGTCAGATCATCTTAAATAACCAGGAGAGGATGATGGACAAAGTCTGTGTTGGGAGGAAGCCTGCAGGTCAAGGTGACCTGAATTATGCTAATGGGAGCTGTAAAGGCAGAGAACAGGGAGTTTATGATGATAACTGGTCAGCACCGTAAATGAGCTTCATTCTCACCATGTATCTATTCAAATACGATGTCAGGCGACCAAAGCATGAAGCAAAATGTGTTATTAAGTCAGATCTCCTCGGATCACAAAGAAAACAATAAGGGAACAGTGATAGAAGAAGAGAAAAAGGAATAATCAAGAGAGAAAATGACTGGGTGGCCAGAGGCAAAACGTATGACAGATCCAAATGGCTTTCATTATTTCTCAGTTGGAAAATTCCAATAACTTCCTAAATTGTTTCCCTATCTTCACTGCTTTGCTATTCAAATTTATCTTGTAAACCATTTCCAGGTGACAGACTAAAATTCTTCAAGTGTAAACACTGTTACTTATTTCACTCTTCTACTGAAAAATGCCATTGCATTCAATTTCTGTACAATATGGCTCCAGCCCATGTCAAAGCTTATTTCATCGTATTGCTTATTTTCAATAGCTGAATATTAAACATAACTAAAGTAATTAATTAAATGATATTATTTTATAAATATTTCCTTTTATTTCTGACGAGTGTGCCCATCTTTGAAGAATGCTGTTCTTTATTTCCCTGTGAATCTGGGGGGGCTGCTAACCTGAAGATGAGGGACTTTCAACAGCTGGGGTACTGTAGGGCCCCCATCAGGCCACCAGAATCTCTTTTCCAGGGGGCGTGTCCCAAGAATGTGGCAACACAGGAACAGAGAGGGATGGATACTCAGGCACGGTCATTCAGCCTGTTAGATTAGATGAGAGCAGGCAGCTCTGTTAGATTAGACTGCAAGCAGGCAGCTGCCCAGGCCTCTGGCAGAAGGTGGGGTGTCAGGTTGACACAGGAAAGGTGCAAGGAAGGAGCCATT